CCCAAACCTCCCTCTTTCTCAAATCGCTCCTGAAGACCCCTCCCTAGGATGATTTCTGGGATGCCAACAGCTGATCAGTTATAGAATAAACCTTTCCAACTGTCAGGTTTGTTGTTATATTCCTTGCCAGAGACAGCAAACCTGGAGACTTCAGCTGCACCTTGCAGAAACAGGACCTCAATTATTCAGGGAAATCACGGGTATCTCACAGCCACAGGGTTATTCCTGGGAATATCCTAACAGGACCACCTACTTCTAGCCACGCGAGCAGCATGCATCCACCACTGCCAGGTGTCCAAAGACTCAAAGTCTTTGAGTCTTTTGAGTCAAAAACTCAAAGTCAGTGTGGTTTTGTGCCCAGGTAAGTCGCAATTAATCTGCTTAAAACTTGGATGGGCCCCTTTAGTTGAGAGCACAAAGTGGAAGAAGTGCAAGGAATGTAAGATCTCTGGGAAAAAGAGCCTCACCACAACTGCCCCAACCTTTCAACTGAATAAACCAGACGGTTGTTTGAAGTTTCTTCTACAGTAGTGGGATGGATCCCCTTCCAATGTCTCTCTTTGTCTTTATGAAGCAGAATATTTTGTGTTCTGGCATCAATACTTCATTTTTTTGTTGACACCTAACACCGAAGGCTAGTAGCAGAACAAGTATGAAGACAACAGCTATGTTCCTTGGTCTGGTTCCTGCCAACGACATGGCGTGGCACGGGTTTCAAATTGCCAACAATGCTCCCATACCCATTATGTTCAGCTTCTGGAATTTCTTTTATGCAATACTTTTCAGATGGTATATGAACAACCCAGCCAGGTCTTGGAAGCTCCAGCCTAGTGGTTTATTTCCAGGTCCACTCAAGCACAAATAGTTTTTTAACTTGTATATTGAGATGCTCTTGAAATTCTACCCTGAATGTTCACTTATACAGATGACATTTGTACAGACATCCAGTGTCAAGTTCTTTCTGCCCTAGAGGACATCTAAAATTCAGATTTGGCAGCTTTATTCAGCTACCGCAGTAACTGGCACTTCAGGCTGAACATTTCAAAATCAATTTCATGCGTTTTCCACCTCCACAGCGCCTGCGAGACGTGAGCTGAGCACCTCCCTGACTGAGTGCCCAGAGAAACATGATCCACATCCAGCCAATCTCGTCACTGCGCTCCATAGACTCCGGCTGTACCGCGACCATCTGATAACCATAGAATCACAGACTGGTTTGGGTTGGAAGGGACCTTAAAGACCATCCAGTTCCAACCCCCCTGCCATGGGCAGGGACACCTTCCACTAGACCAGGTTGCTCCAAGCCTCATCCAGCCTGGCCTTGAACACTTCCAGGGATGGGGCATCCACAGCTTCTCTGGGAAACCTGTCCCAGTGTTCCCCACCCTCTCTGGGAAGAATTCCTTCCTGATGTCCAATCGCAATCTCCCTCTTTCAGTTTAACCCTGTTACCCCTTGTCCTGTCACTCCCTGCCCTTGGAAAAGGCCCCCCCCAGCTTCCTTGTAGCCCCTTCAGGCACTGGAAGGTGCTATAAGGTCTCCCCGGAGCCTTCCCTTCTCCAGGCTGAACCCCCCAACTCTCCCAGCCTGTCCCCATGGCAGAGGGGCTCCAGCCCTCTGAGCATCTCCGGGGCCTCCTCTGGACTCACTCCAACAGCTCCATGTTCTTTTGATGTTGGGGACACCAGAGCTCAATGCAGCACTCCAGGTGGGGTCTCACCAGAGCAGAGCAGAGGGGGAGAATCCCCTCCCTCACCCTGCTGGCCACACTTCTCCTGATCCAGCCCAGGATACGGTTGGCTTTCTGGGCTGCCAGCGCACACGGCCGGCTCATGTCCAGCTTTTCATCCCCCAGAACCCCCAAGTCCTTCTCCTCAGGGCTGCTCTCCAGCCATTGCATTGCTCTCAAGCCATAACATTGTCTGCAAGAGTCAAGACCTGCCAGGCTTAGACCTGTGAATGTAAAGTTTAAACCCTGCAGACATCTGCTCTTCCCTCTGCTGGTTGGCAGCAGAGTATTCTACTCATCTGGGATACGGACCTGCATGTCTCACCCTTACTCCGTCCAATATGCAACTTCATGCAAACATAGAATCATAGAATGGTTTGGGTTGGAAGGGACCTTAAAGATCATCCAGTTCCAACCCCCCTGCCATGGGCAGGGACACCTTCCACTAGACCAGGTTGCTCCAAGCCACATCCAGCCTGGCCTTGGACACTTCCAGGGATGGGGCATCCACAGCTTCTCTGGGCAACCTGTCCCAGTGCCTCACCACCCTCTGCGGGAAGAATTTCTTCCTTATATCCCATCTAACCCTCCCTGATTTCAATTTGTACCCATGTCAGGGGTGCTGAATCTACCTTTCTACCCTATCTCCCCCTGTGAAATAACAATGTTCCAACATGCCGTGTATGTTGACCCTTTCAAAAAACACGCTGTAGGATTTGCAATCTAACCTGTCTTCTTGCAGGACTGAGTAAGCTGCAAGTGTGCTGTGGCCATGCAAACAGCATGGCCTCATTTGTCCATGGCTGCTAGAGAAAGATGGCACAAAAAGGACCAAGAATGGAAGGAAATTTTGAATAAATGTTGAGAGAGGATGTTAAAGAAACATGCATTTACATATTTTCAGAAGAGCTGCCCCAAAGGTGGACTTCCTCTCTTGTGGGGATGGTTTTTTTTAATTCAGAATGGGGTGAATTCCCTTCTCAGAAGAAGAAGCAAGATTTTTCTAACATTACTGCAGCAAGAGAAGATACAGATGAAAAAAACATTCTGAAATCGTTAAAATACTTAGAAAATCAGGAATAAAAGCCTACACTTCCAATCTGTAAGTTGAATTAATGCTCACAGGATTTACAGGCTCCTGCTTTCCCCTTGAGGTGCCCAGTGGGAAGACTGAAGCCTTGACTACCCAAGCAATCCCATAAAAATGAAGTTCCCAAAACTTCCAGTGCTGTGGCAAGGATTAAACAGTTCCAGCAACCCCTGGCCATCCCAAGGCTTCAGGGTCTGGTTCCATCACGTAGCACCTGGGGTTTCCCCGGGTTCGCAGGCTCCCAGCTCCCCCCGAGACATGCACACCAGAACTAAACATCCGGGGGACCCTGCTGCACAGGGGCGTCCTTGCTCTTTTGGGAGAACACTTGCAATATGGGTTGGGGTGACCCATTCCTGGGCTCCATCCTGCAATGATCAAGGGAACTCCAGTCTGCGAGGAGGTGAGCGGAGCAAACAAAGGAGAGCAAATTGAAAGCTGCTTTCCTGCCAGCCGTGCTCTCTCTGAGGGCCAACACCAGCCAGCCTGGGCGCAGGTGGCTTTTAGCAGCTCAGAATTTGCCATCTGACCGTTTTGATTTAAATTCCACTTTCCATCGCCTGCGTTTAAAGTTCGGTGCATGGGCTTTTACAGCAGCAGTAATGAACCTGGAGTTCAAACAGCACATGGTGAGATCAAAAATTGCCAGAGCGGAATGTGTCCCACAAATACAAAGCATGGCTTTTCATTCATTATTTTTTCCTTTACAGAGAGGTTTTACAAGCTGTTTATTTTCTGATACAGTGTTGGCAGACATGTGGTCGGAGGAGAATCAATATCAGCACAGTGGGATGTATTTTCTTAAATGGTTTATAGGGGGGTCTTTGCTTTTTCAAAGGGGGATAATTGAATGTAGTACACACTGTACTTTTGATTTGTTTAACGTGAAGCGTGAAATGGGTACAGCTATGATTCTGTCAATCAGTTTAACTATCCAGCAATTCATTTTGAAGCCAGGCCTCCTCCCAGGGATCGTCTGGCTCGAGGGATGGGGAATTTGCTCAGCGTCTTCCCCGCCAAAGCACCAATTCCAACCCAGGCTGTGCTGGGACCTTGCTGGGCCCCCAGAACTAGCTGGGATGGGGATCCCAGGTGAGCTTTGTGGATGCAGATGGTCCCACTGCAACCAGGTGTCTTCGTACTCAAACACCAACATTGAGTTCACAGCAGCAAGGCAGGGGGCAGGGGCGAGGGACTCAGGGTTGGGTGGCTGAAGGGGTTTGAGCTTTCAGGGAGGTGTCACAAAACAGAACCAAATCTGGAAAGGAGAGGTTGTCTCCAATGTCCACACGGACCCAACAGTACTCCTCTTAATCTCCAGATAATGAGCAGGAAATTTAAACAAACAGACCTCCCTCCCCTAAAGTGTTTCTTGTCCAATTTTTGCCAGCGGTCTCACATGTATGCACCCCAACTCCATCCCTGTTTCCTTCCCTCTGGACAACTCCCAGTCCACATCTGACCATGGCATTGCAATAATGTATCTAAAGGACACCAAAAGCAAAAGCCAACTACAGATGTAGGAATGAGGGGGCCAAAATCACACACTTTTAACTCCCCAGCTGAGTACACAGCTCTCATTAGACCAAAGGCATCTTGACCCTGAACCCCAAAGCAATGCTTTTCTTCCCACCTCTGCATCAATGGTACACCCCAACCCATGTTCTCCTACGTGTCCCCTCTGCTTACCCCTTCAGGCATTTGGAGGAGGCTCCTTCCCTCACCCCTCTTTACCCTCCTGTGCCGTCATTGCACAGCACGATGCCTGTTATGCCATGCTGGAGACCAGAGGCGCATACCTAACCATCCCCATGGAAATGCCATCTCCATCTTTGGAATAACTTTGTTGTTGAGTAGGCATCTTCCTAGCGTCATGCAACCTGGAGAGTACTTTGACACCGCTGCACCAATATTCAGCTGCCTCCAGGCCAGAGGGGTCTTTTCTGGGGGGTCAATCTCTCCAGACTCTATCCAAAGGCACCTCTAACTCTGACCTCAAAAATGTGGTATTCAAAACGTGGATTTTTGAACAAATTTCTCCCCCTGTCCACCCCTTTGTGTTTCACATGACACAAAGGTAAGGCTTAGCCTTGCTGCCATTGGGCAGTTCTTAGATCATGCAGCGCATTTCACCCCAGAGTTACTACGAGGAGGTAGAAACGTCTGTCCAAGGACACTCACCTTTTTTGCAATGTAACACATTTGCTCAGCAGGGAGATACTCAAACGGGAAGACGAATCTCCAGTTGAAGTTGCCCTCTCCTCCCATAGACCTGTAGTGCACATCTGTCTTCTGCTTGTTTTCCTCGTGCCCAATCAGCCAGCTGCAAAATGCAAACACATTGCATGAAAAACTGGAAACACAACAAGGATTTTGGAGTTCACTCAGCATTGCAGAGGGAATGAGCAGGTAATAAAATGTTTCTGACCCCGATGCCTTGGGCTGCTGTCTATAGGGGTAACCTGGAGCCCATTGGAGACTTGAGAGGGAATGCAACACCCCCTGAAGTGCTGGGAGATGAACCAGTGCTGGTGGTAGCAGCCCGAGAAGCTCTGTGATCTCTTCTCCTCCCTCCCCTGAGTTTTCTGAATGTTTTAAGGACCCAACATCGCCTTAAGCTCTGGCTCAAAGTTGTCGCTTACCCACCCATAAGCAAACATCAGCTTCTAACCTGCCTTGCTGAGGGCTCCCTTCCCCTTCGCAGCCCCCCCCCAGCAAACTGACCTTGTAGTTAGACCCTAAAGCCTGTCCTGTTGATGAGGCAACCGTGCTAAAAGACCAAAGGGCCATTTTTCCCCCTTTATTCTCAGTCACTTTCTCAAAGATTTATTATTTGAAACTCCTAAATGGCCAAGAAGTTCTCCTCCTGGAAAATCCCAGAGAGGCCAGACCCTGATGTGGCCAGGGTGGTCCTCAGCTGCTCCCCTTGGAGACAGGTCCTCGCAGCACACTTCCCCTCTGGTCACTCCACAACCAGCCCAGGGGCAAACTGAAAACTTTCCGTAACAACGGCTTTTTTCCAGCTGTGAGTTTTGCAACTGTTTCCCTATCCAAGATTTTTCAGTCTTCAGCAATCAACGAAACAAAACAAAACAATAAAACACGTCCATTTGTGTATTTAGAGCCCTTCTGGAGGAAAGCCAGGAGGTTCAGAGAGAATCTCTAATGAAAACAATTATCTCGTTTGACTGTTTTCCACTTAAATTGAAAATAAGGGGGGTTTTTTGCACAGCTATACAAATTATTCCCTCTTCCCCAGTGCTTGAGAGGAGCGCATGACCCATCCCAAATGTTTTCTGGGAGACAGGGAAGGGAGGTCTACTCAAGTTCACCCTACAGTACACATCACAGGCACATCTGCTACCCGGACAGCCAGGGCTTGGTGGCAGTGGGGATTGTGTGATGAGGTTACACTAATACCTAAATTGTGGCTGGGTTATTTGATTTGATCTGATAGTATGCAAATGGCAAGGCTGTGTGTTTATCTACATCCTTCAAAGCTTGGCAGGGACCCTCGGAGGATGCAGTGTGAGCGCCCTCTCCTTGCAGGTTAACAAAAGGACAAATAAAGGGTTGGATGTGGATGCCTCTTGGGTGCGTTTAGGGTTTTTTTTCTTGCAGAATTTGCTGCAGCCTCCCCACTGCAGGAAGGAGATGCCAGAAATCAAAAACGTTCTAGTCACAGTGTCCCAGAATTAAAAATATAACGTAGGAATGACCACGTTGACCAACCAAAGGCTCATCTTGCCCAGTATCCTGCCTCTGACCAGGGCCAACAACAGACATGCAGGTACAGGATTCGGCAAACACAGCCCAACACACCTCTCCAGACTCCAATAATTCACAGGTCAGAGACTTCCTGAGCTATAGATAATGGGTTTGTACTTAGAATCATAGAATCACTGCGTTGGAAAAGACCTTAGAGATCACCCAGTCCAACCGTATCTGTCCACCACTAAACCATATCTCTCAGATACTTGACAGGAATGGGTGGATATTTAGCCCATTAATTCATCCAGCATTCTTTAAACCCATGCAATTTAAGGTTTCTGCAATATCCAAAGGCAAGGTTAGGTTCTTAAATCTAAGAGGCGACTTTATTCTCAAAATCCTCACACCTCCCTCTTTGCTCAGCATGAGTATAACATTTTGGAGGACCCAGGCCATCCTTTTATTTAGGAACATAAAAGGGGATGCAGATGAGTTTTGAAGGTGCCACATAATAGCACACAAATCTTAGTGGTGGTGGTTGTTGGAAGGAGGCTCTGGAAAATTTTAGTCCAACTGGCTCAAAGCAGTACTGGTTTTACCTTGAAATAATCTTGAAAAACTTGCAAGATGGTGAGTGAAAAAAAATCCCACCTCCCATGTGTGACCTGGTTTAGTGTTGGGCCATCCTTTTGGTGAAGTAAAAATTTTATTGGAAATTCCACTATGAAAACAATACAAATCCATCTATGACAGTGATAGAGAGGGCTGTTAACTCAAAAATGCACCCATCCTCAGTTCCTAATGCCTATGATCTCCCTACAGTACCACTCTTTTTTCTGCCTACAGCACAAGTCTTTAGGAAGGGAAGGTCTCTCTGCACTCAGCCTTGCACAACCCAAACCTGGTTGAGGCCTCTTCATGTTATTGTAAGACTATCAATAAATAACCAATTAAATAAAATAAAATAAATGGCAGCTGCCTCAGGCATAATAGAAAAGCTCCTATTTTGTTTAACTGTCTGGATCAATAATAATTTACTTATTATGTGGAAGATCCTGTCCACAAGACTGAGATTTCAGCCCTGGCCCTGCCCCATGGGTAAAATGCAGAATAAACTGCCAATAGCTCCCTCAGAGAAGCACGGTGAGATCTCCTGCAGGAAAGACACAAGTAAAAGCTCCAAATCTATTGATTCCACCCTAAAATAGGCTCCAGCCCCTTCTCAGGAGACAGCGGTGGATGGAACAGTCCCCACCAACGTGGCAACACGCCATGGCCGGGAAGGTCACCGTGCCCACAGGATCCAGAGGTGCTAGCTGTGCAGCCATTCTGGGGGGAAGATGAGGAATTTGAAGAAGTTTTTTAACTCACTTAAAACACTGCAAGATTTGCTCGGTCATCGGGGATGCTAAAAGCCAGGCGAGAGGTATCAGCAAGTGCTGGATGCTCTGGCTTTCCCCTAACACCCTGCAAGCACTACTATTTCGGAGCCCCGGAGCGCACAGAGCAGCTTAGCTGGAGCTGATAACAATGCACTTGATGGGAATACCAGGTAAGCAGCGTGCATTCTGGATTTACAGGAGGAAAATTGGGATTGTAAAAAAGGGATTTACAGTCTGTTTCAAAATCCTACCTCTTCCTGTCCATAAATCCAAAGAACGCACAAAATAAGTAAGTCCCTTGGCTGGGATTGCACCATTTTACACAAGATAAAACATAAATGGAGTCAGGCAGAGAAGGGAATGTGCCAGAGGAGTTACTGCTGGTTGCCACATTTTTGTGTGTTTCAAGGGGGGAAAAAAAGGGAATTCCAAAAAAAGCAGCTATGCAAACAAGCCAACCTACGTATATGGAACAAGCTTGTGGCTGTCCGGGGAGCGGGGCTGGGAAGGAGCCTACTGGAAACGCAGACTGTGTGCCCCTCTCTCCAAGGGCTAGGCAGCTTCCCTGCATCTTGTCTTTCTAAATGTAAATATTGTCATGTAAACATCCAAGAGATGCAAAGAAAACCTTGATATCGCTATGTCCGTTATGAGCCCAGCAGAGACAGGTCTGCCAAGAAGCTGGATCCATCTCTGGAGCGGTGTGAGTGGCTCCTTCATCCCAGCGAAGGTTTGTGTCTACCACAGCAATGTCGATGCAAAGGCCGTGGTGACTCCTTCACTGTTGCTCTTGTGCCTTCAGGCTACAGGAGCCGGGGGATGCGGGAGCAGAGGGGCTTACCCTTTGACGTAGATGTCACTCATCTTCTCCCCGGTGATGCTGAGGTCATCCAGGATGACGTCCTTGGTGTTCCAGATGATGCAGCGCAAGAAGAACCTGGATGGCCCCAGGAACAAAGCCAACATGAGAGGGTGGAAACCTTGGTCTAGAGCCCACCTGGGCAGCCTGGTCATGCTACTCAGCTGGGTAGCTGAAGGAGCTAAGTCACAAGTTATCTTTCTCTGAGGATGAGCCCACGTAGATGTTTCGCAGCTGGGCAGGGAAATCCCTCCCCCTCTGACATCCCCAGGCCCTCTCCTCTCCCCTCACAACCAGAAGATGCTGGAAGCAGCACTGCACCAAGTGAGAAATGAATAATAAATCACCTCTTGGCTTTGCGTGGAGTGATGTTGAAAGGGGGGCCAGGCTGACCCAGAGATTTTGGAAACAGGTCCACCCACATCTGTAGCTTCCCCTGTGTAGAAAGAAAGACACGTGAAGCCTGGTGAGCCTCCTAACTGGGTTACCTTCACCTCCTCAGTAAGACCTGGTAGTGGAGAGAGAAAATATCAAGTGCTTCAGTGTTCTTTTGTTGAAAACAAAGGTTGGCTTAATGGAAAAGTGTCATTAAGTGTTATATTTTAAATGGTTTAGTGATTTCTGGGTATATGGTAATGGCTTGTGATATATAAATGGTTGGTCTGGGTAAGCTGAAGGTGGGGTCTGGCTGGCTGGCTGGCTGGCTTTACGTAGGGACAGACTGAAGACCGGGTCCGTGGGCGGCTGGAGAAGCAAACAGCTCACTTGCTTTCTACGGTGTCACCAACTGTCACCAGCTGCACAACTGGTCTAGGGGTTTCCGACCACGGGAGTGGTGGATGGGCTGAGGAGAGGGGAATCTAATTCCACTGTCACAAAATCCTTTCAGGGAGAAAGCAGCAGAAATGCAGATGAAATCTCAAGTGGGAGGGGGGTGTTTTTAGGTGGTCTCTTTTACTGTAAAACACCAATGGGTGCCAATAAAATGTTTTATTGTGCAGTCTCAAGGGTTGAAAGGAAAAAAAAAAAGCTCCATCCTTTGACAATCAGCCCATCACAGAGGGGTTTGTGGTTTCCTTGCTTTTTGGCAAGAAAATCTTCCATTTCAGCAGAAAACTTTAATAGCCCAACATGGCTTTCAGCTCACTACAAACAGGCCCATAGAGCCAGCCTGTTCTGTGGCTTTGCAGCAGCTCAGAGACTTTTTTTGGGAATGGCCCTAAATTTAACATTGGCTGAGTCACACAGCACCACCCTGGACCCAGGATCACCCCCATGGGTTCTCTTGGTTAGACACACGAGTGCAGGGTAGACCCTGATTTCTCTGCCCGTAGGCAACCCCGTGACACGAAGGAAGCATCCTTGCTAGTCTCCATGGCTGGTCCACCAAGACCAAGAGAGCTGGGGGTGTTCAGCCTGGAGAAGAAAAGACTCCAGGGAGACCTTATAGCACCTTGCAGTGTCTGGAGGGGCTACAAGAAAACTGGGGGAGGATTTTTTACAAGAGCAGGAAGTGACAGGACAGGGGGTAACGGGATTAAACAGAAAGAGGGAGATTGAGATTGGATATCAGGAAGAAGTTCTTCCCGCAGAGGGTGGGAAGGCACTGGGACAGGTTGCCCAGAGAAGCTGTGGATGCCCCATCCCTGGAAGTGTCCAAGGCCAGGCTGGATGAGGCTTGGAGCAACCTGGTCTAGGGGAAGGTGTCCCTGCCCATGGCAGGGGGGTTGGAACTGGATGGTCTGTAAGGGCCCTTCCAACCCAAACCATTCCATGATTCTATGATAAGACCTTGACACCTGAACCTATGAGAACTTCACCGACCCTCTTGTCAGCAGACAGCAGCCACCTCTGGACTCTCATCATCATTTTCATTGGGTGAATTAACATGAAAAGGGGTAGCTGCCAGTGCATTTACTTCTGCCGACAACTCTCCCTTCACTGGAGAGGTGGGCTGGGTAAACACGAGCCCCAGAAAGGAACCAGCTGAAACGGTGCAGATCAGCAGCTGCGCACATTTACACCAGCTGCAGAGCTGGTCTCCTGAAACTGCCTTTGCAATGCAACTGGAACACGTATGACAGATGATAATTAATCATCTTTTTCTCCGGGAAGCAGCATTTTTTGATCCAACTGCACATATGTGTTAATGAAAGAACAGGGGTTAGGCTAAATACAGATACCTGGATTTTGAGTGGATTTGGATGGAAGCCCATTCAGCTTTCATTTGGCTTAAAAATACCCAGTCGGCTACAGCACTAACACTTTACACCTCCAAGGGTGGGTTCATGATGCAGAAATCACGCTGCCACATTGCCAAAGGGGCCTGCAGTGTTGTTACCATTATGGAAGAATTCTGCTTTAAGACTTTTAAATCAGAAATGTGAAAAAACAAACCAAAACAAACAAACAAACAAAAACCTTTTGGGTGCGAATGCTGATGAAAACGAACACAGGGGGCTGGAATCGATCTCCCCAAGCACCCTCTGTAAGACACAGAGCTGAGCCCCAGCCTGTCTTTGACAGTGCTCTGCTCTGCCCCGTAAGCTGACTCCCCTGCCCTGGGAAAAGCCCAGCTCCCGGGGTGGTTATCTCCAGCGTGGCTCCACAGCAAGCCAGCCACCCAGCTAGCATCAGATCAAAAGGAGATGCTCTTCTTGGGCTTGTCCTGGACATGTCACAACACCCACCTGCTCGATTTCTGGCTGGAGGGGGCTGTAAAGAGGCCTCGTCTCCACGTGCTCCGGCACCAGCCCTTGCTTCCTCAGCGCGTACAGGGCGAGACGCTCCTCGACCGGCCCCAGGTGCGGGTTGAGGGGTTTGCCATCCTCTGCCAAAGAGCGAAGAGCAGCATTACACCATGGGCAGGGCCAGATCCTGACTGCCTCGTGGGAGGGAGCAAGCGCGAGCAGGCGGAGCACAGCCTCCGTTTACATACCCACCATCATCACCAACAATCCAGGTGAGACACGTGAATGAACCACTGCACAATGGGACAGGGACGCGCAGGGACTCTCCTGCAATTGTGTGTCCCCCCTGTCCAGATCACAGCAAGCGAAACACTGCCGGGGCCGAGTTGAAGCACATGGAAAGGAGAGCCCAGTCTTTCATCCTGCCTAAGGGTTCTGGTCCCGTAAAACAATAGCATGTGGGGCTGCAGGGTCTCCAGCAGCCCTCCAACCCCTGCTGCTGCTCTGCTGCTGTTCCCACCCCAGCCGAGTGTTATCCTACAAGTGATCAAAGCTCTTCAGGCAGAGGAGACGACAGGGTTTGCTCTGGTGTGGTTTGCAAGCACTCGTGTGATGGATATTGCTTAAATCCCATCATTTTAAACCATTCAGAGTCTTCAGCTGGGCAGAGAGGAGTGCAGCAGGAACGAGCTCCCTGCGGCATCCCACTTCTTCTCTGTTGGGTTCAGGGTGAAAGACAAGAATGAGAAGCAAAGGATGGCCCTACCAGCACCACCAGCACAGCTCGATGGCCATCCTAGCCCCTGCCCTGGTCCTCACTGCTCCCACTGGGCTATTTGTGGTCTTTCATCAAACAGACCAGCACCGTGAGCAGACCTGAAACCATCTCCACCTCCTCAACCCACTCCATGCCAGACCTTAAATCCTCCACAAATAGGTCAGACAAGACCTATCACTAATGGATATATTTGTCTTCTCTTCCCCAGCATTTGGGATCCCTTGTTGCACCCAGGCACTGAGGACAGCCAGCTTGGCCTCAGCCTCCCGGACAGGACAAGGGACAATGGCTTTATATTGAAAGCGGGGAGATTTAGATGGGATATAAGGAAGAAATTCTTCCTGCAGAGGGTGGGGGAGGCACTGGGACAGGTTGCCCAGAGAAGCTGTGGATGCCCCATCCCTGGAAGTGTCCAAGGCCAGGCTGGATGAGGCTTAGAGCAACCTGGTCTAGTGGAAGGTGTCCCTGCCCATGTCAAGAGGGTTGGGAGACGATGGTCTGTAAGGTCCCTTCCAACCCAAACCATTCTATTCTGTCTATGGCTGAGCCTGCTCCTACCTCCCCATCCCCACACGTGGAGGGGCCAGTGGAGGACATCACCCCCAAGACGCTGCCTTTCAGCCACAGCGTTTCAAGGCCATGCACCTTCGAGGACCTTTGAAATGAAACACGCTCCATAAATATTATTACAGCTCTGCAACTTTCAGGTGATATATCCCAGCTCCTTTCTTGGCAATATCTTGAAGTGGTTAACTTCAGACATATGGGCTATTTCCCAAGCAGTGGAAACCTGGCGTGCGCACGTGTGTGTGTGTGTGTGTACGCACAGGAAAAAGAAAAAGCCCTTCTCAGAAAACAACAAATGTGGGGGTTATGGAATAATGGGCCGGGTGCTGTGCTTGTAAAACCCATGCTCTCGTGTTTAATAGCTTCACTTTATACCGCCAGGTTCAGATCTGACATTGCTCTGTGAACACAGCTGGTTTCCAGATCTCCTTGAGGTCAAGCATCAGACTTTGTTCTGTTTTTTTGAACTGGTTGCCATTAAAGCAGAGGAAGGTGAAAGGCAGGGGTTGGGAGAGGGGGGAAGACCCTGCCTGGTTTAACACCTTTCCAGCCCTTGCTGAAAAACTTTTGCATAACAAGAGGTTGCAAAGAAGACATTGCTTCCCCACTCCTCCTTCTCCTAAGAGGAAAACCATGAATTACGGCATTGATTCCCAAGAGCAAGGAGGGTTGTGCCTTGTTTTGTGCCTCCACAGGCCAAGTCCTCCTTGATGCAATACTGTAGTGGCCTTCATAAAATCAAACTGCGGCCCCTGGGCCATGTACAGTGATGTTTCACCTCCTCCCGTGGGCCAGAACATCCCTTCCATTTCCCTAAAAGGCAATATTTTGCCCCTGAAGATGCATCAGATGGGCATAAGATGATGCCCAGGATATTGCAGGTGTCAGTGTTGGTGGTGGTTTTGTGCAAACAAGGAAATACCTCCCCAGCATTCGTTGTTATTTCCTCTTTGCTGGCACAGGGTGATTTTGCACTTCCCGCCAGAACACACCTCACCGCCCCAGGTGTGAGCATGGTGCGATGCCATGTGTATGATACTGTCTCCCTCTAGTGACTCCAGCCCCAAAACGCCGAGACACAAACCACACAACTGCTCCTCCGGCCGAAGCAGCAGCTGGAAGATCAGGCTGGAGCCTCTCCAGCTGCGATGGACTTTGCTGCTCCCAGCCTGCGTGTATTTGGTTTGCTGCGAGCGGCAAAGGGCAGTCACTCAAGGCCAAAGTTAATGTGGCTGGATTTTTGGGTCTGGGTTCAATCCTGGGGTTTTGTGCAGATCCAACTGCAAGCTGCAGCCCATGGGGCAGAGCCAAGCTCGGGAAAGGTGCAGACCCAACCTGTACAGCAGGGTGAGGAGGATGGAGACATGCCCATCACCCAGCCCTGGCCTCCATGATAACACCCCATGGTGATACGTTCGTGACCTTCCACTCCATCCCTTGCTCTGGGTAAAGGAAAGCTATATGCAACCCCAAAGCAGCCCCATTCCCTTACCCAGTTCAGAGAGGATGTATTCGTGTTCCCTGAAGATGACCCGGTCGGACTTGTAGGTGGGAGCCTTGTAGTTGTGCTGCAGGGAGAAGAGGTGAAGCAGCTGGGAAGGACGGAGTTGGTCTCGCCACTGGTTGGGTCCAGAGCTGAAAGCAAACAGGAGGGAAAACAGCAGCTCGACACGTGACAAAACATCTTCCAGCCTCAACAAGGAGCAGCAGCGGCGTTCCACCCCAGAGGGCTGGTCCGAGGGAGGTGCAGCTCACTGGTGAATGGGGCTGCATGTCCCACAGCCCACTCAGCCCCAGCTTGCAGGGCTGGGGTGCCCTGATAACCTCTCCAGACACCCCTCAGCTGGCCCTGTTCCTGGGGGATCATCCTCACCCAAGAGGTATCAGGGACATAACAGGATCTCCCCAAGGACATTTATGTTATCTGAAGCATTTCATCCTTCTGGGGGAGAGCCAGGGCTCAGGGAAGTTCCTCAAATGTGGGGCTTCTCTGGTGTGAATCTGTCTCAAGATACATCTCTGCGGTGAAGTACAGCGGTGGTCAGGTCCCCCTGGGACAGTCCTGGGACAGCTGAGCCATCACTCTGGTCCCATGGCCAGCTTGGCACCGCACAGCCCTGGCAGCCACAGGGACCCCCTGCCCGAGCCCACAGAGCTACCTACATGCAGTAGGTTTGGGGGAGGCCACAGCGTGCCCCGTATTTTGACAGGAACCGGTTCTCCAGGTCTATGACGGTCTCCCCAATCTTCTCATCCTTCGACAGGAGGTCGTAGTCATAGAGTGTGACCTTCAAGTCCTTCTCCAGGGGCAGAGTGCAGCTCAGCTCAAACATCCTGCACAAGGGGAGCCGAGAAATATCCGTGAGATGGAGGTTCGTGCTGCTGAGAGCCCCATGGGAAACAGACCCCCACACCATCCCAACCCCACCAGTGCCAGGAAGGACAGTACAACCACTGCACATCTTTGGCACATTGGTCCAGTATATTGGTGCTGTGTTGTACTGGTTTAGCTTGTGGATACGCAACTAAGCAAGCATGCCGTGGGTTTATTTCTGCCTGGTTGAATTATCCTCGAGCACATTTCGCCCATGCTTAGTCTCTCCATCTGCTAATTGGATGTGATGGTGGTCACCGCAATATCCAAGGAAAAAGAGAAACAGGTGAGAGTCAGGAATCACGATTGCCGTGGAATTTGAAAGGAGGAGGAATGACAGCTTTGGAAAACCATCTGCTCTTTGAGTCCAAAGTGCAAATGTCCAAAACTGCCCCAGCCAAGCTTGTGGTCAGAGACTGACCCTCAAAGCCTCCTTGTCCTCTCTTCCCAGGCCTAAGCACCCTTCTTCTCTACTGTCTCCTCTTCCATCATTACACCACAGCCCACATACTGCCATAAAATAAACCAAGAGGAAACCTTCTTCTCCCTCTTCAAATCAAAGACAATCAGAGACAAAGCACCAAAATGCTGGCGATGTGGAAGGTGGTACGACTGGGTGATCAGGAGGGTTTGGGTCTGGCCCAGCACCCTCAGAAACCCCTCCACCTGCTGCTGAAAGGCAGGAGATGCTGGGGAGAAACAGCGTGCCCATTTCCACTGCCAGCACCCACCCCACAGCAGCCTTTAAGGAGGGGAAGTGAGTGATTATGCCACCAATTAAGAGTGCAGGAGGAACTGGGGTCAGCAGAAAGTAATTAGCTCAAGCTGGACGGCAGCCAGCCGCCCAGGGAAAAGCTCGTGAAACGGGAGGTTTAATAGCCGCCAGCAGCCAGGACCTCGGTTTTACATCTCGCTTTAAAGAGCTGGTGGGAGGTGCAGCGCGCTGTCTAGACGGCCTCTGGCCGGGAGCCAGGCTTGGGAAAGGAGGGCTTGCTCCGCTTAGCTGGGCTCAACCAGGTCTGTGACCCAGCAGTTGGTCCTGGCTCCCGGAGAGCGGGGATCCCTCATGCTGCATGGGGACCAACCCCTTTGCGTTCGCTGTAGGGAAGGCAGAGATGCCATCTCCATTGGGCAGGACTAAAGGGCTTGGCTAGTGCACGCTGTCCTCTGAGGTCTCACAGAGTCACAGCGTGGTCGGGGTTGGATGGGACCTCTAGAGATCATGTAATCCAACCCCCTGGCAGAGCAGGATCCCCTAGAGCAGATCCCACAGGAACAAGTCCAGGCAGCTTGGGGAAGTCTCCAGGGAAAGGGACTCCACCCCCTCTCTGGGCAGCCTGTTCAGTGCTCTCTCACCCTCAGTGAAGAAGGGTTTCCTCATGTTCAGGTTCAACCTTCTGTTTTCCTGTTTATGGCCATAAACTCACCATTAGCACCCTCCCCATCCCTCTCCCTTTTCCTCCATCCCCGCAGATGGTGCAGCTCCCTCTCTGTCTTGCTTTGTTGGGAAGGTGTCAAGACATTGAGAGCCTGAGGTGGCGTCAGCCGCCTAAGAAAACCAGCTGGACGTCGTGTGGAGTAGGGCTGGACCCTGTTTGCGACTGAAGCATAACCACAGACATCCAATCCCAGTTTTCTAGGAGACCAAAGTCCTGTTGACACACAGAGGCTGAGCACCAGGCTCTACCTCCCTCTGCTTTCCCTGGTCTTTATGGTGCCTTCCAGCTGTCACAAATGCCCTTTTCTGTAAACAACATTATCTTTTTGCCTTTTATCACAAGCTCTGGCCCTGCTGCGAGACAAACAACCAGTCCATATCATGTTTATAGATAATTCTTTTTCAGAGCATCTGATTTTGTGGTGTCCTATGCCACAGCCTAATCAAGCAGGTCTCCAAGAAGTAGTTTCCCCAGACTCTCTCTACCATCAGTGGGATGAGGCGGACACCTCCACAGGGGAATCTCAGGTATAAACAACCCTCCTGACATTTCCATTGATGACAGAACAGACCAAGTCCATGTTCCACAGCTCCAAAGTCGCAGAGGAAAGATGAGCACGAGCCACGGTGGGTAGGGCAGAGCCAAGGCCAGACTTACTTGGCTGGACATGAGCCAAGAGCATGCCAAGGGAATCACAGAGCAGTTTGGGTGGGAAGGGACCTTAAAAGGTTGCCTAGTCCAACCCTTCTGCAGTAAGCAAGGACATCTCCAACTAGATCAGGTTGCTCAGAGCCCCGTCCAACCTGGCCTTGAACGTAGGTTGGAATGAGAAGCTCTGGTTGGCCCAGCCCTATTCCCTCAATATGACATTAAAAAAATCCCATGGAATACAGATTGAACCAAAACTTACTTTCCAAAGACAGGCTCCAGCGTACAGGGAAGGTAGTTTTCTTGGTCATTGATGTATTTCTTTCCCACTGAAATCTTCACGTAGGGATCGCACTAAAGATGGGAGTGAAAATAAATGGAGGCAAGAGTCATTGCACACCAATATGGATGGTGAAGGAATAACTGCCTCTCCTTGTCCCAGCAAGCGAGATCTTCCACCACCCTTGACTAATGCCTGTTTTCAAGGATAGGACAGTCTGACCATTAACTACACACCCGTGACCGCCAGCAAGAGCTACCTGCTCCTCAATTCCTTCTTGAGGATGACCAAAGGACCACTCCGCAGTGCAGGACAAGAGTCCAAGCCCTTCTGAGGTGAATGAGGTGGAAAAGCAATAAAAGAGCACGAAAAAAACTACTTATGGCTTCTTCGATGGAATGGGCTTGCTCTGAAGTCCTCGGGATGTTCCTGTTCTCATATGAGTCACCTATTTTGGGGTTCCATAGAGGTCATCATTTTTTAAGTTTGATCAAAAATAGGTTTACAAATACAGAGGACTAAAATGTCAAAAGGGAAAACATTTTGTTTCAAAAAAAAAATGTGGCTCAAAACCATTCATTTCCAAGATGCTGCAACAAACTGGAAAAATTTTTAAAAATAACATAGAGACTCGTTGCGCATCTAAAAATTGTATCAAATATTTTTATATTTTAGCAAGCATTTAGGCTTCTCTCTCACAAGTAAAACTATTCCGGGAAACAAGCATAAATTTGAAAAGTGGTTAAATTAACTCAAGTCAGCATTTTTGCCAGGGGAAAGGAAAAAAAACCCACCACAACTTCATGTAGAAGATGTCACCCAGCTTGAGTCCAGTACCTAGAGGGACCCACCAACCTTGATCACAATAGAAAGTAAAAATAAAAGAAAAAAGCAAAGATATTGGCTAGTTATGATGCCTGGAAAAAACCCACAAAGACCAAGTTTCTCATCACTTTTCCTTGACCTGCAGGTTTTTTTCGGAAGCAAAGGATGGAAAAGCAGTGTTCGGGGAAGGTCTGCAGTGTGAGGATGGACTGGGCATCCAGGGCTCCCATTGTCTCAGCTTGACTGGGACAAGCTTCAGGGGACATCACAGCACAGAGGGACAGACTGTGGATCAAACTTGGATGGGTTTCGGTTTTCAGGGTAAAAAAGGCATTTTTTTACTCCTCTTTTTTTGATCTTCAGGAGTCTCTTACAGGAAATTTTTATCATTCCAAGTCCATATCCAAAAACTGGGCAGATTAGAAAACAGTTTTGTTCTGTACATGTTAAAATATAACCCACACTTTTCCCCTAATTTCCAGTGCAACAAAGAGAGTTAGGAAGGATTTTTCCCTGAGGTTTGGGTTGGGGTTTTTTTGGGGTTTTTTTTGCAAAGGGAAAATAATGCACATTTTTCTTTTTGAACCAATATGATTTTCTTTTTTCAGTGATTTTTTCTTTCAGACTGGCATAGCTTTGCAAAAAAGCAATCATGTGAAAGACATAATTTTGTTTCTTTTGGCACCAAAATGCTAAAAAAAAAAAAAAGAAAAAAAAAAGAAAAAAAACCCCTCACTGAGCTGTTTTAAGTACCCCTACTGAAAAACCCCTCAGGATGGATGAAGAGTTGGCTCTTGGGATTCCCAGGTGTTGGAATGGAGGCAGAAAGAAGGAGTAGACTTTCTCCTTCTTGCTCTCACCATTGTTTCTAAATTTTAAGCCCTCTACCCAGATTTTGACCCATTAGGGCTGACCTGCTGAAAGAGCCCACCCCACAAGCCAGCACTGAGGTCCAGCAGATCTTTTCCCAGAAGGATACCTTTCCATTAGTGTCCTTGGGTTGGAGGTCAAAGGCCCGGATGACGTAGACCCTGACAAGACACTCCTGGGGTCCTCTGGCTGGGAGTTGATGGAACTGCCGAGGTGGCACGGGGACTCGCGGATCATCCGGGAGAGGGTAAATTTTGAACGAACCCTGTGAAGGACAGACATGTTCAGCTGTGTTTGCACACCCACGTGTGCGGATGGGTCTTGTGTGAGCTGGCTCGCAACAACAGTCTGGGTGATTGCGTAGAATCACAGAATGATTTTGGTGGGAAGGGGCCTTTAAAGGTCACTGTGCTCGTCCAACCCCTCTGCAGTGAGCAGGGACATCTTCAACCGGAGCAGGTTGCCCAGAGCCCTGTCCAACCTGAGCTTGAATGTCTCCAGGGATGGGGCATCCACAACGACTACAGCGCTGCAAACAGGGCCCAGATCCTGACCCGCTTTTGCCTACCAGACCAGACCTTGTCCTGCCAGGCTCTGCGTGGTGGAGGGAGCCAGGAGCAGGGTGGTGAGCTGCCTGTACCATACAACCTGTATCAGACAACCCTTGCTTCAACACCAGTGCAAACTCTACTCTACCTCTGCACAGAGACCCTCTAACCTGTTCCTCCTCTTCCACTTCCCTGTCGTGGAGTCTCCAAGCTAGCAAAGAGGTGAGCGCAGCAGACCTGCGCAGACTGGACCTAGTGATCTACTTTTATGGCCCATTTCTCACTGAAGTCCTACCCAAAAATGGTTAATTGGCACCATCCCACTCAGCATCAAGGCCTTCCACCCTGCAGAGTGTGTTCCCAGGTACAGGTGGAGAGACCATCACACCTTGAACTCCCCCACGACCGAGGGGTCATCGTTCGAGTCCTGCGACCGGCCTCGATACAGCTTGAAGGTGTGGCAGAAGTCGGAGAGATGCTCAAAGTCCTCCACGTTCTCCAGTTCCGTCTCGTAGACCTGGGGAGGGAGAGATGGGGGACAAGGGGAGGGACTGCTGGGCAGAGGAGGACCAGCAGCACGTCCCCACTGACCTGGGGCAAGATCTGGGACAAGACTGGACCCAAGCTCCTCAGTCTGGGGGAAATACCACTCACTGGGACAGAGTCCTGGGACCTGTCACCCTTGTTGCACACCCCCACCCCCCCCAGGACAGCGATGAAGAACAGACCTTGAGCAACCCTACAACAAATAACAGCACATCACGGAAGACCCAGACTAAGCCAAGGTGTTGCAGAGGAGTTTTCAGCAGCCAAAGAGACCTTTCTGCTGGGAATGTTTTCCTTAATACCCGGCAAGGTCTTCCCCATTTTAGTCCTATTTGGGCTCCTGTGTTAACTTTAGCAATTCCTGTTACAGGGAACTTAAATCTCCCTCTTCCCCAAGCAATCTCTGGCATTCCTTGTTGTTCCCAAACCACTTTCAGGGTGGCATTTCTTCACCTCCTCTGACACTTAGAATCGAAGTAAAAATTTCTTGAAGGCTGCCAAGTGGAAAGTGACCAGAAAGGATTTTACAAAGAAAATTGAGTTTTCAAAATGGTTATTTTTTTAAAAACAAAAGTACCTGCTCTCAGGGGAAAATGTTTTGGGCTTGGTTTTTTTTTTTTAATTTTTGTTCTGGGGTTTTTTCTTTGTTTGTTTGTTTTTTCCCATCCCAGAAGAAAGAAAAAAGCCTAAACATGCCAAAAAAAAAAAAAAAATCACAGTTTGTGGAAAAACATCATGGAGATTGCAGGTTCAACGAGCCTGAACCAGCCAAGGCCACTTACCTTCAGGGTGTCAAAGCCCTTCTCTAAATAGCAGCCACATTTTTCTCTCTCTCCCGTGGAAGCATAGAATTTGCTCCACCAGTCAATGAACTCTTCCTCCTGGCAGCAAGGGATACCAGAGTTACACATCTCCACGTGCAAAGCCCAACGGTCAGTGACAGCAGCACCCCCCAGAATTGCTAGAGGTGACCTCCCACCCCGTGCACCAACCCCGCAGCCCAGCCTGGGTTTGGGCTCTCTGTCCTGCAGAGACCACGAAGCCATGGTGAACCCAACCCTCACTCCGCAGTCTCAAGGTGCTTTTGGGATGTTTCCAGCCCTAATCCAGTGGTCGCAGCCGCAGCAGCACCGTGGAGCTAGATCTGTCAGCGGAGAGGGTGATTTTCCATGGGAGGATGAGATTATAAGAAATTTGCAGCGTTTTTAGGGGCATATTTTGGGCAGTTTGGGTGGTGGTCTTCCCAGGAGCTCAGCGCAGGACCACACAGGGGATGAGATGAATTAATTCTTGTGCTAACATGGTCCTGAGCCTTAAATTCAGGGAGGATGTGAGGACTGCTCTTAAACTCAGACCCTATTTAGGCTTTGCCTGGAATGTTTTGGGTTTTCTGGGATGGGGTTTGCCTTTCTGGTTTGTGTCCCAGCACCACCCAAGCTCCCCATCCAAACAAAGCACATGAGCAAATGAATAAATGCATAAAATGCATATACTTCCACTAAAGAAACAGATCCTCAGGTACTGCACCTCCCTCAGGAGCAACCTCACTCTCTTCTCATTGTAATTTTACAAAGAAACAGGCAAATCTCATGCAACCTCAGCCTCGCAACCTCACAGCCCACAGCCGCAACGCCATGGAGGAGCATTTGCTTCATCTGCTCCGCAAACTGGATTTCAGCTCCGAGGATGCTGATCCAAGAAGAAAGCCGGCTGCCGGCTTCGGCAAATGTATATATTTAATAAGAGCACCATTTTTGAAATTTATACAAGCAAAGATGAAGGGGCTCTGACTGTGATTCATGAAACATTCCTGAAAAATAATGATGTCTTATTTTAGAAGTCCACAGAATTCCATCACACTGACCTAATGGAGGAATCATAATAGAGGTTTATTGGATTTATATTTTAAGCCAACGGTGCAGGCTGTCTTGAATAGACATTGTTTTTAATAGAAATATTACATAAATTAACTCTGAGGCCTCTGCTGCTTCCCTTTTTTTTTTCTTTTTGAAAAAAAATTGCCTTTCATCGCTTCCCCTGTTTTATTGTTTAAAAAGCTACACTCTGACCATCATGGCTTTATTACGACATTCCACAGGTACTGAGTTACACAGAAAGCACTTAAACTAATCTGACGACTTACCCATGGTATCTTCTGCAGCCCCAAGACAAAGAATTTGGTTAGATATTTTTTGCCGATTTCTACTGGTGTTACAAATTTTTAAAAAAGGAAGAGAAAAAAAAAAAAAAGAGGAGGCAAGGGGAGCAGCTGGAATGTTAATAGCAAAGGATGTTAATCCATTTGCCGTGAATGAGAAAGGCAGGGAAAGCAATGGCTCCATCACAAGAGCGATCGAATTCGGGGATTTCATTTAGCAACCAGGCGATAGCCAAAAAATCAGCTCTGGTATTTTCTCTTGGATGTGGCATGGGACAGTCCTCAGAGTTGGGGTCTGTGCCCTGAGCCCCGGCACAGGCAGCTGAGGGACCGTGAGCATCCTGCACCCCCTCTCCAACTTCTGCATGGAGACCCCACGGGGCATAGGTCCACGGGTGGACATCATGCGTAGATAAATTTCATATCAAGTGATTGACAGCTAAAATTTGGGCTTAGGGAGAAGCTCACTCGGATTCAGTGAGCTGCTGTCATGGTTATCGGAAGGTGTGCTGTCTCCCCATCCCTGCTCACTCCCTCTTCCCTCCCGACCACTGCTCCCACAGAGCAGGGACCACCATAATGTTGGCTGGCACCTGCATCCCAAAGGCCCCAAGATTGGAGCCAGGATGGCAAACACTTTCCCATTCCGTGCTGATCGGAACTCAAGACCTTTCAAGCTCCAGGGTTCCCAGATTTGGCAGGTTCTGCTAAAATGGGAAGGTCAACATTTAGCACTGGAGCAACAGAAATGGAATCAGGACCATTCCACCAGGCAAGAGCCTGAATGGGACCATCTCATCAGTTTTCCAGCAGCTGCATGAGCATCTAGGAAAGGGGCATCAGGAGAGCACCTTCCAAGCGGACATCCCAGAAGAAACGAATGTCTGCTGGCCAAAAGCACAGTGTTTCCAAAAAGAAAGAAATTCAGATTTTTTTTTTTTTTTTAATGCCTTTAAAACCAGAATTTCACCAGCAAGCTGCAAGTTCCTATTTGAAACATTCCTGGGATTATGGCTTGGACACAGCTAAAGCACTCAGACACAGGCTTAACTTCAACTGAGTGTGCAAATCCCTCTGAAGTCAAGGAGGCTCCTCAGACGCAGCCTTAAGGGCATTCTGGATCAGGCCTTGCCCTCACCAGAGCCAGCAGCCGCCATTCACTTGCCACCTCCAGATAACAGGGAAGAGGTTTAAGCTCTGCCTGATCTCCACGTAGGACCCAGGGCTATGCATATTGCTGTTGAGGGTACTGAAGTTCTTCCCTCCCCTGGACCCCAAAATGCAGACCTGTGTCAGCCTGGCAGCTCTCGAGGTATTTTCAATCTCATTTTGTTTCACCCAGGGGACAATACACTGGTATTTAACCTCATTTTTGTCAGGGAGACTGAGCCAGAGCAATTTTCGCCCACCCTACCCAGGGTTTCCTGCAACTGCAAGCCCATCCCATCAGATGTGTTCCCAGATGGGAATAGCAAGAGGCTGATCTTGTCCAGCAAAACCCAGTTTTCACAGAATATATTGGAATGGCCATTCCAGTCTGGAGCAAAAGGAGGTGAGGAAGCCTGGGAAGTTGCTACGCAATGGACATGTTGGCTTCTGGTGAAAGTTAGTCCTGATCATCATCACCTTACATGTGGGGGAAACTGAGGCACGGAGAGGCGAACGCCCAGACAGCAAAGCCAGGAGAGCAGAGCAGGCATGAGCCAACTGATGTTTAATACTTATGCTAACTCTCCTAGCGATTACACACCCTTCCCTGTGGGAATATAGATAATTATAGCAATAATAAATACCACCTCTAAAGAAGCTAAGCCACTGCCTTGGTCTCAGATGCACCTCACATCTGGGAGGCAGATTTCCTGCTGTGGGAAAGCTCTGCAGCTGGGATGAGAAGATCCCTCCAGAAACAGCTTGGACATGTACAGACGGGGCTCCCCAGCTGTTTGTTACCGTGCTTGTGCAGGAGATGACACCCTAAATCTCGGCCTCGGAGCGTGTGGTATCAGCATCCCCATCTGCTCCGGCGCAAAGGCAGCCTGGTCAGCTCAGCTCGTTACCCGGCTAAACTCACCCTGCCCTGCCCTCCCATGGGCACAGAAAACTCCAGTGGAGACGCCACAGCAAACAGCTGGGGAAGAAAAAAACGTCTTTAAAGACCGCAGCTGCGCTCCTTGAGGGTTTTCCGACCACATCCTAAATCCCTGCGCTGCTCTGTGGAGCATTGCTGCAGAGGTCGGCACGCCCGGGCTGGAAATGGAGCGGCGGTGGGATGCATCCTCGGGGTGGTTCTGCAATGAAACGGCTGTAATGCAGCCCCCCAGCCACCCACCGCCCCAGCAAGGTGCCAGCTATCCCCGTGCTGGGGAGGCACGTCCGCCCCTGCTGCCCAACGGGCTCCATCACCTACAGATCCAGACAAAGAGCCGTTGCAGAAGTGCCTGGGAGGCAGGAAAAAGCAGATTTTTCCTGCTAGGATGCCATGCCCTGCCCAAGACACTGGAGTGGAGGTGTCATAAACTGGGCTTGGGAGATGCCTGCCAATCCCCGGGAGCTTGGGGGGAAGCCTTTTTCATGCTATCAACCTCCCCATGTCCTTGAATTCCCACCTCTTCCCAAGATGCATCTGTCTGTGGGTTAATCTGGTGTTTCTCCCTGGTTCCTTCGACCTATCCCACGGACCTGCAGCAGCTCTGAGCAGCAGAGAGCAACGCTGGAGGGAGGAGGAGACAACCACATGCAGGGAGGCTACAAGAGGATGTGGCTTATCCTTCCCTTAGCCCTCAAGGTGTGAACTGTCAGATGTTCATAAAGAGAAATTATCCATTTAAGGCTCTTTCAAGGTTTTTTTTTTCACCAAACCATTAATTTTGCTCAGAAGTGGACAAAACTCCTGGTTTTCAGTGGGTTTTTTCCAACCAGCTCAATCAGCCTACATTTAGACATGTTCACATTTAGCCATGTTCAGCCAAAGGCAGCCACCCATGTACCCTCTTGCCACCAGTTTTCCTCTGGCTTATATCTGGGGCCGCTTTTCGCTGCCACCCTGGCTGGTAGAAAGCCAGCTTGCCATGCTGAAAGGTCAGGGAGGGCTTTCACCCATCAGCTGTAGCAGTGGTGGGCCACCCCCGAGCAGGCATGAATTGCTGGGAGGTAAAAATGACACCGGAGGGCAACGCTGGGCTGCAGAGAGGGGTGGGGACTCAGGAGATACCCAACACCAAGACCTCTTCCAACTAACAGTAACAGGATAAGCCGTAAAATATGTGCTCTGATTTGGAACTAGCAAACACAGCAAATAACCAATTATTCCAAATAGTTTACAGATTTTGACTTTTTCTTTTTTTTTTTGGCTGGGGTTAGCTTTGCTAACTTGTTGTTTGACGGGTTATTTGTATTTCTTTCAACCCAAGCATCGCAAGCCAAAATAATGGTACCAACAACTGCATAGAAAACACCTTATAGTGCATCCCAGGGGAGAGCAGAGGCTCCTCATTGCAGTTTCATAGCTCTGAGGTGTCTGAGGGCTCTTCCCGAGCTCCTCTCCCCTGGGAGATGCTCATGGACTGCCTGACTCCTGCTACCGCTCCAGCAAGCTCAGGCTGGTGGAGAGCACATCTGGCCAGACCATTCCACAGCTGGGGATGCAGGAGTTCAATGGGCATTAACCATGCAGGGGGTCCTCCCTCCCACCCCTGTCGGGGTTTTCACACTAACCCCACATTT